AGCATTTCCAGTAGCACAGTAAGAGTGGTGGAAAACCCTTTAGCAGTCTGCCCAGAGGATAATCACTTCTATGTGTCAAGATTGTCAGGACTGTGTTAATGTTGAGAGAAGAACCTATCAGTTCTAATGTGATAATGTTTTCATTTTGACAGTGTGTCATGTTTAATGCCGAAATCAGATTACGATTCTTTGAGTTGTATTTTTCTGCACATTTTTCCCTGCTTTTGCTTGGTGTTATTGTGTTGTGATCTTATTATATTTCATGAAATCTATTAGGTCTAATCATTGCATTTATTTTGTGTCTTATTAATATTTTTCTGGAACATGAAGCAAATTGGATTGTGCTTAGATGTTTGAACTGACATATTTTAGAAATACACATTACAGTTAAAAGTAAAATGCCAAAACCCCTCAGAAAAGGCTGACAGGTGAAAACTAGAAGTGCACGTTGAAATGTTCAACATAGATCAATGGCCTTTAACCTAGAAACTGCTGTCTTCCAGTTTATTTTTTTTCTAAAATGCATAATGCTGATATCAGCTGTGCACTTCAACTTAGTACATAGATAGCACCGCTCTTCATTACTGACCTCCCCATTATAGACACTCCTGATGTTTTTTTATTAATACACTAATTATCATATGATATTATTATGTGATGATATACACTAATGATAATGTATACTGGTGATAAATATTATCTCATTATGATATTATACTATTGGTTCTACAATACTTTTCCACAGCGGTAATAAAGAAAGAAATATTACAACTATTTTACAGTCCTGTTAAGCACAAATGATTGGATGAAAAAAAATGTTTTGATTTACAAAGAATGAAAAGATCCTGTGAATGATATGCATGCATCTCCAGCAATGAAGGCTCTGATAATCATTTCATTGAAGCCATCTGCAACTGCTATGATACCCTCCTTTGGCACTTTAGCAGTATAGCCTTTTCAACTGATTGCTATCAAGGTCAGTTAATTCCATCACCAAGTGACCTGCAATAAATAAAGTTGACTTTTATGTAAAAAAATAATGTAATCCATTAGATGCTACAATTGCTTAGTTTCAATGCCTAAGAATGCTTTATGTTTTATGAATACTCATTTAAAGCCATTATCACCTTGACATACACAAAATAAAAAGGTGACTTGGCAGTAATGTGATGATGGACTAGGCATGACACTGACGGTTATATAATTTCATCACCTAACGGGCTAAAAGAAAATTGATTATAATTTTTTATTATTATTTGCTGAAGTAAACTGAAATAAGGCAGTAACTGGCAAAATGTATTTACATTTTTTTAAAGAATGATCTCCAACAATTTCTCCAACAATTTCAATCCCACCATGTATATATTGTTTATTATTCCTTCTGTATTTTTGCTTGGTGATACAGTATAAGTGGATGACACTACGCAGAACAACCTTCTCTTTCAAAAAAGTAATGTGCTTTTGAAATCTAGCTCATTCTCCTTCAATAAACAATGCAATAAACTCTTTAATAACATATGACCTTGAAATACATAGGCCCATAGAAGAGTATAGGAATGAGGAATTGGCTCGCTGTAAGTTTGCGTGTACAGTATGTACAGTACAGTACAAATTTGCATGCTTTTAAGGCATTTGCTCTCTAATGGAAGCACAAAATCAGTCTTTGGGAATAGAAAGGCACTGGTTCATCTACCAGACAGGGATAACAAATAACTGAACTGAGTTAACTCTTTGTGAATGGTGGACAACCCATAGTGCCATCTCATGCATGCTGAAGTCTTATGTGAGAGACTTTGCTGACTTACTCTGTATTCTGATCAGTCTATTTCTATGCTTCAGTGTTGCTGAGTTTGAATGCATGCTGCTGTTTCTGTGCAATTGAGACTGGGTTTTATCTAAACAGGGAAGATAGGTAATGGATGACCTCTGTGGGCTAAATGGGCACACAGCATATGTGTATAAACTTGAAACCTGCTGTTGAGGAATTTCCAATTTCCGCAGAAATGGTAATAACGTCTGCCTTTGGATCAAAGGGTCATTCATTCATATCCTAGCCAGGGAGAGTACACAAGCAGTTCAGAAAGTTACAAAAAAAATACCCGCAGAATGGGGCAGAAAATTACAGATCAGTCATCCATGTTTCTGAGCATCCAGCAAAAACCCTTGTGAACATGGTGAGAGCATACTGTTCAAATTGTGATGTACTGTACTGTAGTGACACTAACCGCCTCCTTTTCCTCAGAAGGTAACTGTCCTTAATAAAGACAAATCAGGGCAGAACCAAATGTATTCCCTCTGTCTTCTTCCACTGGATATTATGCATATACAGTGGATTGCATATATAGATTTTAATATCCAGTATACAGTATACTGTACATACGTCCTAAAATAAACTACAATTATTGATTAATTCCTAGGATGTTTTCTTTGTGATTTGGTTACACAATTTATTGTCTCATATTGAGAGTTTAAAGTTCCTCATGAGTCCTCCACTCAAATTACATTTGCTGATATGTCTATATGTACATTGTAAATATGATATATGAGTACATACAGTACTTCCAGAAAATGTTTGTGAACCCTTTGGAACCCTCTGTATTTCTGCATGAATGGCTCCTAAAATGTTATCTGATCATCTATGTCATAATAATAAATAAAGACTTACTGTATAAATAAATAAAGTCTTATTTAACAAACAACACACACACACAATTTACACTGCCATATCTCTATTGAACAAATGGTTTGAACAATCAAGGTCATTGATGGAAAAAGTATGTGAACCTCGAGGATAATGACATCTTGAAAAGAGGGTAATTGGAGTCAGGTGTTCCAATCAATTCAGGCCTGGGTTTGACCTGCCCTGCCGTATAAAAAATCACACATTTTGGTTACCTGCTCTTCGCAGCAGAATTCTGTTGAAATGCATTATGGCCAAATCAAAAGAGATTTCAGATGACCTTAGAAGGAGGGTTGTTGAAGCTCATAAGACTGGAAAGGGTTACAAAAGGACTTTTAAAGACTTGGGCCACCATTAGTCCACAGTCAGGCAGACCGTTTACAAATGGAATAATTCCTAAGGGTTCACAAAGTTTTTCTCACAACTGTAAAATAATTTATAACAACCTCAACCCCACATAAGCTACACAGACTCAAAACCAGGTGAAGTTGCCTCAGTAATAAAACAATTTAATAAAAATTAAAAAGAATTGTACTAGTTAGATTTAAGTCTAATGCTGTTGAAAATGTTGAGATTTGCACAAACAATTAAAGCACCAATATAGTTACAATTGTGTTCTGTGACCTGCAAAGTTAGGAATTTCTTCTCTTAAAGAAATTTAACAGCATTTATATAAAATCAAATTAAAACTAATTCCAAATGAATCATCATTGCTTTCAGTAAATTATATATATAGTTTTAGGGTTTGCTAGGTCTTTCTGAATTTGCATAAAATTCTTGGTAACACTTTGTATTATTGTATTTATTTAATGTAGAGGTTTCAAAGGTTTCAAATGTTATTTCTCATTGATTTTGAATGAGTGTCATCAATATGATAATACTTGACATGAATAGCACCATAGATTAATCGCATGTAAGTAAACAAACTCACAACAATAGCCTTAACTACAGCATGCATAGTCTTCCATATACTGTATAATACTTTATCAATGTATTTACATCTGGCTTGTCCATTTATGAACCTTTCATTGGAATCTCATGAAGTGTGACCAAAATAGTTTTATATCTATATCACAGTTCTTCATAGTCTCCAATTTTCATTGGAATATCTATAAACTACTATTTGTATCGTATGACCCCCCCATAATGCACTGCCAACCTTACTTCTTAATACACATTTATCCATTCTTACACAGCTCATTATCCATTTCCAAGATGTAATAATGGCATGCACAGTTAGTATTACATAATGGTAAAGGTATAATTCGATATTATGTGGTAAAAGGTGAGTCATTATTTTGAAATGTGTCCAGCATTTTTGACACCATACTAATAAATTGTTTTATTCAAAACAGTGTAGAGAACAGGGGGGTTTGAAATTATCTGAAATCACTTTGTTATCTATTCTTTCTTATTGCTTTATAACACAGAAGGACACTTTTTTCAATGTTAACAGTTATCAAAACAATGAGATTTTACTATGGGTTTCCTTCCTGGTGGTCAAGTTTAAGAATTATCACAACCACATCCTTTGGTGTTTAACTCAAGCAGTATTTAGAAATACAGCAGTAGATAAAAGCACACTAAGAAAAATGTGCCAAGTTAGAAAAAAATGGCTGCTCTTTGTGTCTATTGTCTATTGTTTTAGCCGGGAAATGCAAGCTGATATCCTGAAAATAGTTTTCATCCGAAAAAGCTGCAGTCAAATACATATCAAACATCAGACATGTAGTTTCATTATACACAGTGCTTTGTCTATGCAAAATGATATAAAATCAATGTTTGTAACACTGAGGAGGAATGATGACAGCCAAAGAAGCCTTCATCTCTGCTCCTCTTTGTTATCCTCCATGATGTTACTTCCTGAAAGTTTATAAAAAATCCCAGCAAGACCTTTTCTACCTCACAGTCTGTTGCCATGCTCCTCTACATCATCTCCCCCTTTGCAGCTGGGCCGTAGTTCACTCTTCTGCCTGCCAGCAGTCCTGACTTCCTTGTCCAATGGCCAGGTGGTGGAACCTCAGCCAGAAGGATTAAGCTAAAGCTCTTTATGTTTTCAATAAACATATTAGAATGCATATTCTTATCCGGTGTTGTTATTCTTCATGACATATAATACAATGTTTGACAGAACAAACCTTTTGGATTTATTATAAGAGATAAGATATAAGATCACTTTATTCGCCATATACAATTTCTTGCATTAGGAATTTGTCTTTTCACGTACCCCAGCTTGCTCTCCATGAGACACACAGGCACACAGACAGGGAGAGAAGCTTGTGGTCAGAGCGCAGGGTCAGCCATTTATACAGCACCCCTGGAGCAGTTGCGGTTAAGGGCCTTGCTCAGGGGCCCAACGGTGTAGGTTCCTCTGCCGGCCACGGAATTTGAACGGGTAACCTTCCAGATCTGCCACAGATGCAGATCCTTAGCCACAGTGCCACCGCTCCGCCCCTTGGAAGCAACTTAGCCACCTTAAGCAACCTTGAAAAAACATGACATCAAGAAATTAAATAGGATTTATTCTATATACATATTAATGTATAGTAAGTGCACATATACAGTATGTGTTATCTATCATTAAAATAATATATATATATAATATATATATAGGGAGAACAGTGCGACAGTTAGCATTGCTGCAGTACTGAGGACCTTGGTTCAATTCCAGACCTGGGGTGCTATTTATGTGAAGTTTGCACGTTCTCCCTGTGTTTGAGTAGGTTTCCCGCAGGTACTTTGGTTTCCTCCCACAGTTGAAAGACAGGTTAATCTGCTTCTGGGAAAATTGGCCCTAAGTGTGAGTGTGTGCGTATCTGTATTTGTGTCTGTGTGTGCCCTGTGATGGACTGGTGATCCATCTAAGGTGAACCCTGCCTTGCACCCATTGCTTGCTGGCACAAGATCCAGCTCCCCGTGTGATCCTATATTGGATTTTAGAGGTTAGAAAAAGGATTGATGGATAATGCAGCACTATCCTATTTTCAGTTACAAAAACTACAGCTCATAACTGCTCTGTTACTGAGCCTGGCATGTAGGGGTAAGAAAATGAACAGATAATAATGATAAACAAGGCTGACTGAAATGCAACCTTGACAGGTTTTTCACTACAATAAAAATGAAGCAAATGCTTGCACACAGAGCTGGCCTTCGTTATTGTTCTTTGACAGGAATGATAATCATGAAAGGACTGTTCTGCTTCATTTTTGCTGTGTGAAAATGGTTTTCTTTCATGTGCTTTTCACTATTCTACTTTAGCATCAACGGTTACAGTTGATAAACACGCTGTTGCTATGCATTTTGACATTTCTTTCAACTATGTGGAGTTATAAATGGATTGTCTCAGGCAATAACATTTGAATTGTTATGTGTGATTCCAAAAACTAGTTTAAGCTGAGGCGTATTGTCAAATGTCTGATGGGAAGACGGACTTATTATCTCTAATTAAAAAAGTTTGGTCACGGCAGCCTCGTTATGGGAAGAAATCAACATTCGCAACAACCACACAGTTCAGCAGTTTGGCATGATACTCAGAGCAAACAAACATCCTAGACATTGAGCACAATACTTTAAAATAACAAGGACGCAGGTTAGACCATTAATTCTGTCAGTTACAGTATATTATTATACTGCATTCAGCTACCAGTATTTAAACAGAAATCGCAGAACAACCATTAGCTCTGAATATTTTGCATTGGCTGTTTATCCTTTCATTTGTGAGAACATTTCTAAACAAGTATTATGAACTATTGGCACTTTTCCGTATGTTGATTCTTTAATGCATTTCCACTAACAAATATTATACCGTTTTGTGGTTTATGCTTTCATACCATGTCCTGTGCCTGTGCTTTTTACACTTGACACTAGTGCTACATATTTCTGGGGGTAAAAATATAATTAAAGGTTTTTGGCTGTGTCACCCTTCATTAGTATTCATTTATTTTCATGTGTCTTCAATAAATAAGAAAATATACTATGAGCATGGTCAACATCACAACAGAAATTAACTGAAAAAGACCAAAAACAATCTTACAAATACACTTAGCAATTGTTTGATAAAGATGATCTCAGATTAGGCTCTTACCTCAGGGTGTCCATGGAATCCTGGGCATTTTTTCATATGGACTTCCTTCTATTGCAATATCTTGCAATTGCGACTTAAAATCTCAGAATTACGACTTCATATCTCACAATTGTAACTTTATATCTCACAATCGCGATTTATAATCTCATAATTGCGACTTCGTTTCTCGTATTTACGGCTTTATATCTCGCAATTGCAACTTCATATCTCACAATTTTGACGTCACTGGCGCCAGCAATGAATGTAGCTAGGCCAGGTTGCTCATCTGGAAAAAGAAGCCCATCGTTGTGTTATACCGTCTTGTGTCTCCTTTTGGAATGCTGTGTTTAGGAATATCATTTGAAAATTAGTTTGGGCAATTGCTGATAGATACTGTCTTACAAGATGACTTATGTGTATTTTGTAATAATGAGAAGGAATCTTTGTTACATTTGTTTGTTAATTGCACATAGTATATACAAAATTGTTTTGGATAGATCTGCAAAATGTTATTGCTAAACATTTAAAGGTAAATGTCAAATTTAAAGATTTTGATATTTTATATTTTGTTTGATCTGATTCGGATATAGGATATGTTTTTATTATTAATCTGTTAATTATTTTGCTTCATCCACAAAAGTAAATGGTCTAATACTTATCCCTCTATTAATGCTTTTAAAGTAGAATTCCTTTTTTTACTTTAATTCTATTAGAAATTTAAAGGATCAAAAGGCAAGGCATACAATGAAAATATGTAAAAAGTATAATTTTCAGCTTTTATAATTGGGAATTCCTCTGGATGTGAAGTGTCTGTTTCTGTGTCTTTTTTTCATATTCTGTCTCCTTTTTTGTATTTCTGGAGTATAAATAAAAACTTTTTTTAAAATCCACTATTCCTTCCGGGTATGGAAGCCTCCCTGATGGAAATGGGTAATTAATTTGATTTTTATCAGGGCACTGTACAAGACAAGTCTTCAGGCCTATAGATCCTGCATGATTTATAGTGTAACGGAACGGTCGTTCCTACATATACTGTAGGTTGTACGATCTGGTTGCAGTGTGGTGACGGCACCGCCCTCCACTGCGCATAACAGGGATGTTGACCGCTGGGGCTAAAGAAGGTCTTCTACAGCTCAGCTGGCAAGACCCGGGTTCTAGCCCATGCTGTGAGGGACGAACTAGGATGGGAATGGCGAGGGCACAAGCCCTAGAACCCAAATCCGTTACAATAACAAAAGGACAGATCATGAGATGTGGGTTATTTCGAAGTCGCAAATGTGAGATAAAAAGCCGTAATTCTGAGATAAAAAAGACGCAATTGCAAGATATGAAGTTGTAATTCTGAGATTTTAAGTAGCAATTGTGAGATATAAACTCGTAATTCTGAGATACAATGTCACAATTGCGAGATATAAACTCGTAATTCTGAGCTTCAGTGTCGCAATTGCGAGATGTCATAGCATACCTTTTTTTTTACTCCCTGGCGAAACGGGCTTCCATATCCTTCTGCTGTTCTTAAGTGTCCCTTTTCCCAAATTGCTATTTCTGTCTTTTTTGATGATTTGCATCTAGTCTTAAATACTTTTTTAAAAAATCTGGGAGTTGGAGAAGTGACCGTGCAGATAAGTGAACTAAGTTTGTAACCTTAATGGAAAATGTAAAATATTACCATTAGGTGAACATCACTTGGTTCAACAGAGATAGCTGTTCATTTTGTAGAAAGAGCGAGGTCTTCATATCAGTCAACAAAAGTAAAGGTAATGGGTAAGGGACACCTTGTTCCTGACACCTATCAGATTGATCCAAGCACATTGATCCTTTGGCGCATCTAGTGAATCATATCTAACTGGACTATATTGTAAGAAAGTGTCAATCTGATTTAAACCAGGAAAGCTGAAGAAAATATTCCAGTGAAAATTAAATAGTAATATAAGCACACTTTGTCTCAAAGATTCAAAATATGTGAATTTAAGCTAGAAATTTCTGACAGTTGCAAAGGATCTCTAGGGTGAAGGAACAGACTGCTGCCTGTCTGCTTGTCTGTTATAGAGGATTGAGAGTCCAGCTGAGGTTTTAAATGTGTGTTACCCTACAAAATCCTATGTCCTAATATAACAGAGAAATAATAAATAGAAGAATATAAAATATCTTATTTTGGTATTTTTTATTCATTTTTTATGAATACTTGGTTTAAATTAATCTAGTTCAAATATATTTTCCATTTTAAATGAGGATTTAGGCAATACTGGTGACTAGTTCTGGGACTGTACTGTATCTTTTATACTGAAAGGGATGGTGTGTGATGTAGGAGCAACAGAAACCCAGCATTCTTACAGACCTTAGAAGAGGTCGGTATATGTGTCAAGTTTCAGTCTTGAGCACTTGTTCACCTTGTGAGGCAGAATTACAATTATTCTCTAAAAAAAACAAAGCATTGGAATGTGATGAAGATTTATTTCCTATATGATACAATAATAGCAAGTTATACGATCTGTACAATTTTCCTTTTCCTAAGTATAAAAACAGAGGTGAAGAGTAAAGCCATTTAACTGAAGGACAAAAGCGTGTGTGAAAGAAAAGACTCAACCAATCTCAAGAGATTGTCTATTTTTGCATAACTTCTGAAAGTTTGGCTTTCCATTACTGCCTTCTAAAACTTGATATTTAAATGTATTTCTTTTTATGTCTTCCTTTTTCATAGAGTGAATGAATTGAGTGGTCTAGTGATCTTTTTGCCTTATATAACAACTATTTTTAATACACATGACATAAGGAGGTTGGCAAAGTGGTACAGTGGTTAGCATCACCGAGGCCCTGGGTTCAATTTCTGGTGTGCTGCCTGCATGGAGTTTCTATGTTCTCCCTGTGTTTGGCTTTCTTTCAAGTGCTCTGGTTTCCTCTTGCAGTTCAAAGACATACTGGTAGTTTAATTGGCTTCTAGAAAAATTGTCCCTGCTGTGAGTGTGAGCATATCTGTGTGTTTGTATGTTTCCTATGATGGACTGGAGTCCTGTCTAGGATGTATCCCTTCTTGAGCCCATTGCTTGATGGGATAGCTCCCTGAATTTGATGAGATTAACAAATAGATGGATGGGTGACATAAGAACAGTGGAAAACATCGAACTTCCTCTACCTTCCTGTGAAACATTCTCAAATCACCTCTATTAATATACCAGGATCTTGAGCAAGCTGAATATAAATAGATGGCATTTTAAATATGCACTCTCAAAACATAACAGAATTGTCCCATTTACCCACAACACTTCTGTACCTACAGCTTAAAAGTAGCTTTCTACATGGGCCTGTACATAAGCCCTTGTATGATACACAAGGCAACATAGTTATAGGAAAGCTCTGGAGACTCTATAAAACACATCCATTCAACGTCTGATATTAATTACATTCTACAGTGTATAGTGCTTTTAGTGTCAAAGGATTTTCTGTATAAAATACTTTTTACAGTATATAGGAGGTTACCCTCCTCACTGACCACTGAAGTGTAGCACTGACCTGCATTAGGCATGGCTGCCACTGTAAACCAGCCAGTCCTTCCACACAGGCGCATGCTGTTAATGCATGCTCAGAACTGTTAATACTTCAAGTGAACGAAGGGAGATACAGTATTAAGGAAAACTAACGTAAACGAGTTCCAAATATATGACTTGAGTGATTAAATGTCTTGATTTAAGACAGAATACACATTTGCAAAACATTTCATTTTCTTAATTTACAAAAGAAATCAGCTATTATTTCACCTCTTAAGGCAGTTTTCACCCTGTTTCCCTCTTGTGTTCTCTCATTGTAAGGTGCTGCCTGCTGCGTCATTCTGCGCACCTCCTCCAGGTTGTTTTCTAAAAGAAATACATGACCAGAACTTTGTGACTACTCTTAAATCCTGTCAGAGGACTAGTACATAAGGTTCTGTACTTCCGTCTTGGCCCAAAATCAATATGACCCCCACTGTGTTCTTTTCAAGGCAACAGGGTCATGTCGTGTGATGTGACCAGTGCATTAGCTGGTGTTTTTATTGCTTGACTAACAAATATGACCACATTGCACTCACAGTCCTTCGATGAGCCACGCATTTGGTAAATAACTAGCTTAGCATAAACTGTATTATGTTGGTTTGGGGAAAAACGAATGCTAATTGTGCACTTTCTTTAAAATAAGGAAATTGTTTTTTTTGTGGATTAAGCCCAGTTGAAAAGGATCAGTGGAGAAGAATTTGTTGCATCTGCATTTTTGCTTAAGTATCCCCCGTTCTCAGGGAAAGAGGTGTGAAATGTAGAAAAAAAGCTGCCACATCAGCGTTAAAAAAATCTAGTTTACATTTTAGATCATGCATGGCTTTGCATTTCAATTAGTGTGGGACAGCCTTCATTAGCGCTGATTAACATTCCATTTCACTGCACAACTGACCCAAGTGGAAATTCAAGCTTGAAGGTCTTCACTGTAATCTTGCAGCTACTGTAACTGAAAAAGTCAGCTCTCTTCCCATAACATATAGAGAATGTCTTTTTAAAAAGTCACATTTATATGAAACTGCACACATAATTATTTAAAAGCTGCATAAGGCAGTTGTTTGTAACCTCTACGTCTCTACAGCCTTTTTGGTTTTAATATCTGCTTAGAGCGTTGTGTTCACAATGAATTTGATTGGTATTTGCATCACATCAGAAACGGCCACTTTATTTTTTATTGAATTTTGTAAGTAGTTTTCTGCACTTCATTGTTTTTGTTAAATACACCTTTTTTCTCACAGTTTTAAAAGACAAAAAGCACTTTGTGCCCTCAGAAAATAAAATGTCACAGTTTATTTTGGCTGAAAATATAGAAAAGGAAGCTGAATTAAATATTTTTATTTAACATAAAAAAGTGCATTGCGAAGTAGTTTAAAAGCCGTTGTTTCCACAACATTAAATTTTAACCTCTTGAATGCTATTATCAGTACATTACATTTTTAGTTTTTTAGTATTGTATTTATAGAATTTAATCAGACCTTTTCTAATTAAGCTGATTACATGTTTAATAAAATTGTGGGGATGGTTACCTTATATATTATCTTTGGTAGCTTTTAAATACCACATTAAGCTGTTTTAACATCTAGCTTGCATTTTTCTACTAACATTCAGTACTGTACTCTCACTGACAAAATATTGAACACTTAATGGATACACTAAGTGTAATATTAAAATCAGTGGATGGAATTCAAAAAGTACTTTTTCTAATGAAAAAAATGGAAACAAGTTTTCCAAAAAATTCAGTTCTATCCTTGGAAAAAATCCACTTATTTGTAATCAATACGTATTACGCATAGCATTGATCTGTGTCTCTGAATTGCAATTGCCACTAATTTTAGCTTTAATCATTTAAATACAGGGATCCAAACATTAATCTTGTTTCATCACTTTTCCAATATCTCTTTATAATTCTGACATTTTATTATTAGAATAGCATGATTATTTTTAAAGTAAAACATCTCACTCAGAATGTGATTGATTGTAAGGGCATATATCAGGGCTAACACATTATATAGAATCTGATAAATTGCAGTAAAACAAATCTGATAAAATACAATGTGAAGCTTTTTGATAAGGCAAACATTTATTTGTGCATGTGAGTTGCCCATGATAGTCATAGTTGACCAGTCTTCTTTAAATATTCATGGCATGCATATCAGTAAAGTGTACATCGGAGACCATAGATAATGAATTCTTTTAAATATGTTAAATTTGGCCAAAGGATGTTTTTGTCCTATGAATAATAATTACTATTCTCAAATGTCTTCATTATACATTAAAGAAGATTTAGATCTTCAGTTGTTTATGTCATTCTTTTCTATCTTCTTCAGTATATAGTTTATAGGGGACACAATGTTTAGTTAAAACTAGTTCTTGACTAGCAGACATCTAATAAAGTTTGTATAGATTTTAAATGTTTTAATTAGTTGCCTTCTCAATAATCATCGCAATGATTAACTGTATTAACTTGATGTTCATAAAAAGTAGGAGTACAGAATATACAGTATTTTTAATATTACTGTATGTGCTCAGGAGTTTTAAACCAGTTCTGAAAATTGTTAAACTAAGATTAACAGAAAGACTTATTATAGAATTATTTTGGCAGAAAGTTTTTTTTTATATATGTATCAGTAATCTTGTTCAAAACTCTAGAAATTTAGAAGGATTAGAGTCCTAAAAGAAATGTACAAACTTTTTAAGGCATTTTTACTTTTGAAAAATTACCTGAAAGGGGAAGGATACTTCATCAACATATACTGTACTGTATAAATATATTTGAAAATGTACAGGATATTAGAGATTGTAGGTCCTGGTGTTAGTGGGAGAAAAGTCTAGTTTATATTTTATTATAAGGGAACATTGTTAAGTGAAAAGGATTTTATCTTGCACTTTTGTGAAGTAATTTTCTCAATAGCTTTTGTGTTGCAGGAATCACAGAAGAACTAGGAATGTTATCAGTCTCAGCCACCTGTCAGAAAGACAAGAGCCTGAATTTTATGGATTTTCTGTCTGGTTTTGTGAATAATGAATTATCAGATTAATAAAATTCCTCTGAACCTGTGGAAGATAAATTTCACAAATATGTAAAAGAAATAATTTTGTATTTATCCATTATATTGTATGTCACGGTTTTAAAAAACTGTCTGTATTGATAATTTGCCCCTTATCTTTAAAAGAGCTTTCCTATGACCAGTATCATTGAAATTGATTGATAGATAGATAGAACTTTATTGATCCCGAAGGGAAATTGAGGAAGAGAAGGTACAGTATCTCAGATCCAATACCTAATAATACATGGTAGAATCAGACTCATATGTGAAAAGATCCTAAATTGTGAAAACTCACATTTGAAGATCTATGAGACAAAGATTTTACTTTATTCTTTTGTATTTTCTGGAATATTATCTTTACCCTATCTTGTTTGCATTGCTTAAATTGTTGCTTTCCTATAATATAATAATGTAATGTATATAATTAACCCCAAGGGAATGGTAACCAGCTACCGTGACAATTTAGGAGGCAGGAATTTCCCCTGAAATATTTTCAGTCAGTCCCATCTACTGTAACTAACATTGTCTTTTAAAAAGACATCACAGAAAATAACATTATTGTACGGACTCAATCTAGATTTAACTGAAAGCTTCCTTGTTTGTAGTTGTGGAAATATTTTTTTCTTATTTTTAATCTGTGACTTTTGTCATTTATATTTACACTATATTCAGATGGAGTGTTCCTTGTAGTCTGTGAGATAAGCATTAACACACAACACACATAGTTCTAATCTGCAGAGTAGTAGTTATTGTATGGAAGCAGTTAGTGTTCTATTACAAAGTTTTGTGTAGTAGGATTGTCTATTTTAAGAATTCAGTATGTAAAACTGAATCCTTTGTTTTGGGCTCTGGAACTCACTCTTGTGCATTTTGTGTAATTATTTAACTTTTAAAAACAGTACTCAAGTTAGAACCAGGACTGACTAATACTACCTTTTCCTAATGTAACAATACTAATAACTGTGCGCAACATGCTATTTAAACAAATGAAATAAATACTTATTTTATTCCATTTGTTCTTCAAAATTCCATAATTCACCAACCATGAACTACTGTTCACATAAGAATACACTTTTAGCTTAAGAGATAAAGAACTGTTGCCATCTAAGATGTCTCTCTCCTTCAGTAAATATTAGTATGCAGATAAGTCTACCAACTGCTGGCACTGACAGTCTCTGGAGTTCAAAGTAGTTCAGCAAGATGTACTATGAAAGGAACATGATATTAATGTACACATCAAAGGCAACTGCAGCTGTGCCATGACAGTTTAATTAATGAGACTGTAAAAACAGGACTGAATCTAATTGTATATTTTCCTTACGTTACATATAAGAAAAAAAGTATTTTATTTACTAGTGTCTGACAGACAGTGGCTAGCAAGAGAGTTCAGTTATTTGCTTAACAAATATGCTTAGTACAGTTCTCAAAATCTGGGCCTGGGCGGTTCAGTCAACCAAGATCTCTAATTCTTACTTCTGACATTGAGTGTGTCAGTAATAGTTTGGCATTTCTCAAGTTCAAGAAAACCAAGTAAAATGAAAAAATAAAATTAAAATAAAGAAAATGTTTTAAAGTATGAGGCTTGTGACATTACCTCATATTCACAAATATTAGATGGAATTAAAAAAGCTTTAAACTTCGGATGTGATAATTTTTAAGAACAGGTTTCTACCAGACATTGTCATACAGTAAGTGCCATGTGTTATGGATTGCTCATCAAGCCAGGCACTCCTTGTTATTTTGTCTACTATTATTTTGAGCTGTAAACAGCACAAGATAGAAGCTGCACTCTATTTGGTTAATAAACCAGCTGCCAGTTCAGTGACATTAATTTGCACTCGTGGACCCAATTTGTACATACTGTAAGTGTGCTCAAATGGGTTGAGTTTGGGCAATACAACCCACTACATAATGCAGTGAGAATCTTATGAACAATAAGATTACTCCTCCGCAAAAGAGGAATTTCTGCGCAAGTCATGCCACCGCCAAAACAATGTAATTCCCCTACACAAGCCTTAACAAGTCCACTTGATATGTACCATAGATAAAAATAATGTTATTACTGCATTTCTGTGTGAGCATGTTCACAAAAGGAAAAGTACAATATATAAATATTTTAGATATTTATTAAATGTTTTTGTTGAATGTGAACCCTGGTGAAAATCAAGAAAGAAAAGCACAGAAAGGAGCCAGATCAAGAAATCAAAGCCTTCATGCCATCGGTATGATTGAGGCTGGATTAAATCTGTGAGCTCACGTTTGCCAGTCACTTCCAATCTA